TTCCATTTATTTCTATATTAATATTTTATGTGTTCAATATTCCTTTGTGTTTTTTTTTTTTTTTTTTTTTTTAATTTTTTTTTAAATTTTTTTTTTTTTTTTTTTTTTTTTTTTTTTTTTTTTCGTTTTCCTTATTCAACCTTGAGACGACAAGCAACAAGCCGGAGTTTCTACATGGGGTGGATGTCTTTTTTGTCTTCATCATCTTGCATTTTCACGAACCTTGTTCATACTTTCCGTTGGCAATATCGGGGACTTTTCAGTCGAACTGTACCACGTCTATCTACTCTCCGAGTCATACACGCTTCTGACATGACTCCTCAGAAAAGAGACCCTACGACACGCCCCAGTCTTGTCTACCCCCGTCTGTAACCCTTCCTTTTCACCATTGCAAGCGATGTTTTGTGTTTCTGTTTTACTGCACTGTACGCTTTATGCCTTTTATTCTTTGTTTCTTTCTTTCCGTCTGTCATGATTACTCCTGTTTACCTCGCTCGTTCGATTTGCATGCATCGCATTCTGTTCTCTGTTTCGATACGAGGGATCAGCAGGCCCCGAATCCCACCCAGCCATGGAATCACTTACACCAATCCGATTCGCTGAAGGATGTGTCAATACCCCGGACTGAACCCTACCTCCCACTCTGCTTTATTTCTACCTTATTCTTCCTGTCTTGTTTGACCAGCTCGCAATATGAAGAAGACGAAATGAAGCATGAACGATCTGATCCACCCACACATCCGATGAATCCGTCTCTTCAAGAGAACTGATTCGTTGGATTGCAATGCATGCACATGTATGCGATATGCTTTACGTGCTAGGTATTTATTTACCTGCAGCAGTGTACGTGTGGGATTTGATATGATATGATACGATTTGATATATCTGTCTGTCTTTGTGCATATAGTGAGATGAATTTATCAATGTATATAAGTGTTGCGATTTATTGGTTGGTTCTTAATATCTCCTTGCCTGTAGACATAGTCTGTAGACGTAAACTGTAAATGATAGAATGTAGAGTGTAGATAGAAGAGACAAGTCATCATGCTTCAGTCTGACTTTTTACATCTTCGTACTGTACAATTCTGTGATTAGACTAGAATGTGTGTGCTGATACAAAATGAGGTCAGAAAGTGTCTAAATAGGAAAGAGGAAAAGGAAAATCCATCCCAAAATGACTAACTCCATTTTTGTTCTAACAAGTCTAACTAGCTAGATAGACAAAGTGATAAACAGACAGGCCTACACGGCCAAAGGGAGAAGAAAGAAAAAAAAAAAATAAAGAAAGTAAAACATCTACATCACATAAAAAAACCCCATCCATCCATTTCAATAAGTAAGTAGCAACACGCATCAACAAGGACAGTAAAAAGAAAAAGAATGTAGATAATCTATACAAGAAGCCTCTCAAACGAATACTTGCCCACGGCCTTTCGTTTCAAATATCCGATTTCACGACTACTCCTGGACTTAACCTCACCGGTAGCCTTGTTGACCTTCGTCGAGGGGACGTCGTGAGTAGCCACCGCCTTCAGAGACAGAGGCAGAAGCTTACCACCAGCGTCGCCGTCAAGAGCATCATCACCGTCAGGGGCACCGTAGACCATCAGGTCAGCGCCGTTGAGTTTCTCATAGCGGACGAGAGGAGCGTGGTCGTTGGTTTCGGTTTCGTCCTTGGCGGGGACGAGGTCCTTGCTGGACTTGGAGTTCTTGGAGGACTTGGAGGATTTAGAACCAGAGTTGGCAGGGAGGGTGTGGAGGGAGTTTGTGTAGCGGATGTATTCGCGCAGGATACCGGTGAGGTAGGCGGCTTCTTCGACGCCGGCGAGGGCGGCGGAGACTTCGGATTTCATGTCGGCGATGAGGTCCATCTCGCGGGTCGGGGCGTCGGTGAGGTCGGAGGCGGAGATCCAGCCGGAGGGGCCGATGGCGTCGACGGAGGCGTTCAGCAGCGTGGCGATGGTGTCCAGGGAGAGGGTGGGGGTAGTCTGGTGCGGCGAGATCGGGGTGGGAGGGTTCTCGGTGAAGCGGGTGGTGTGGCCGCCGACGGCGAGGGAGAGGCGCAGGTGGTGGACGAGCGAGAGGATGTCGGTGCGCGAGAGGGCGGAGCGGATGGAGCGGGTGAGGGCGGGGGCGGGGTGGGTGTGGATTTTCTGGATGGTGGTGTTCAGGCCCAGGAAGATGTCCTTGAGGGCGTCTTGGATGGTGGTGGCCGCGGCGGTGGGAGTGGGCGGGGGTTGTTGTTGGTCGAGTTCGTCGCCGCCGGAGGTGATGGCCAGCGTCTTGGCCGTCTCTTCTTCCAGGGCGAGCGAGCGCGCGTGGGCGGTGTTGAGGAAGGTCTTGAGCGCGTAGGCGAGTTCGTCTGGGTTGAAGATCGTGGGGCCTTGGAGGACGCTGAGCAGACGCTGGAGGGTGGCGTCCGAGTCGATGAGCGCCTGGACGAAGGAGCCGACGGGCAGGGAAGGCAGAATGCGTGGCTTGAGGGACCGGCGCAGCGCGATCTCGACGTTGTCCGCCGAGAGGTGGCCGAGCTGGATGAGCCAGGCGCTGGTCTTCAACGGCCAGAAGTCGATGGATAGGCGCAGGGTCGACGAGGCGGAGAGCTTGTCCTGGCTGCTACCGGCATCCTGGACGGAGAAGATGAACGTTAACAGGAATAGGGTAAGCTCGACATTGACGTAGTGACCCCGGGTGGGCAGGTTCTTCGAATCGTCCACGTTGAAGTAGGCCTGGACTGCCCGGTCAAAGGCGTCGGCATTCTTGGATTTGGCGGACTCGCGGAGATCATTGGCTAGTTGGTTCCACCGGTCGATCTGTTCCTGTGAGGTGAGACCCAGCGAGTTCACTTGTTCGACGCGAGGCTTCTTGGAAGAGGCGTCCCAATGCGAGGCGGAGGAGCCAATACCGCGTCCGATGGCGTCGATCAGAAGGCCATCCCTGGGTCGCTTAACCGAAGAAGCCAAAGTCGCGTGGGACGAGCTCAGGTCAAATCCATACAAGATGTTGCCTTTTGCTGCGACGGCAATACCGAGCTTGGCGAAGTAGCTGATAAAGGTCGTTGGCGCCTTGGGACTCGACGAGATACTAGGCACATCTTCGAAGGCGATACTGCGCTGGATGGATTTGTACTGGGTGTCAAACAGCCCGATGATTGACTTGCCGGCTCCGATTACCGTCTGCGGCGAGATCCGCATGACCGAGGAGAACTCTTCATCCTCGAGAATGAATTTGGAAGTCGCCGTTGGCTTGTACTGCGACAGATCGAAGTTGATGAATCCCTTCCGGCAAGAGAGACTCAGTCCTGCGGATCCGGCGTGGAAATCCCAGGCCAATCCACGGCTCTCGAACGTCTCCTGAGCATCGATATCCGGGATGCTGACAGTGATGAGGTGTCTCAGTTTTTGGGACTCGTCCAAGCGAGCCTGCGACTTAACGTTGCCGGGCACCGAGAACATGGAGATTTTCACGTCGCTCAGTTTGATTTGCTGGGATCCAGTAGGGTGCGAAACAACCAACAATATCGATGGCTCGTCCACACCGGAGTCTGTGAGGCTACCCAGGGCCAAAGTCGCAAGGTCTTGGCGTTTCTTGAGCAGCGCTTTCTTCGCATCTTCATATTCGACGAGGAAGCATGCACGCACGGTATCGCTCGAGCCCTGCGTCAGCTCGCTAGGCCGAATGCTCCATCGCTGAGTCTGCAGGTCAGCGGCCAGCCGGCGCACGCGACCGTCTTCGTGGACCGCCAACACATCGAACGAATCGTCGTTCTCAACAGCACCAGAGGCAGTCGGAACAAGACCGACAAAAATGGCCGGGCTGTCCGAATCCTTCACCGAGAAAGACGACGAAGAAATCACAGGTGCGGTCGATCCATTGCCACCACTTTCCTCAACAAAGGACTTGATCTCGCGCTGAGGGTTGACTGCGACGTACGTCTGGCGCTTGACAACGGGCTTGTTCGAAAGCTTTCTGCGCACCGAGCATGGCTGGCACGAAAACGAAGACTGCGGCGGAACGGCGTAGGAGGTAACGAGCTTTGGGGTTTGAACCTAGGAGGTTGAAATTTTAGCAACGCTGAGCTGAAAAGTCAGCGCGATTCTAGTGCATACATTATAGATGTTCACGGCCTCTCCATCGACCGCAACGGCTACTTCATATCTCTTGCGCTTCTTGGAATCGGCCAACCCATGCACTTCACCAATGCGGATTTTTCCAGTAGAGGCTTGCAAAGGGCGAGGCAGTTGAGCCAGCACCGACGGCGGTTGCAAATCCATCACAGCAGAGCGTGAACTGTAGAATATCAAATTGCGCGACGGGTGCCGCTAAAAGCTGGATCAATGTCACTGCATGAAGAAATTCAATTCGATGCCATCCCGAAAAATTTCTGGATCTTCTATTCCTCCGACGCCGAGGCGATACCTATTGTGGTTAGCGTTGCTTCGATGCATTTTATGCGCCCAGCTGACTCATCCGCCCACTCGACATCGTGCTATGCCAGATCCCTCAGGCAGCAACCCCGTCATAAAGTGGCCCCCGCGGAAGACGCGCCTCTGCGCGTCTTTTGGGTGCGTCGTCGGCCGTGTCGCTCCCTCAATGATGCCTTTCTCAGCGACGACACCCCTTTCACCATTGTTGTCCCATCTCCTCTATTCTTCGGTTTAGGGATACACCCAAACCATCATATCTACCTTGTATTTATTCTTTTTCAATTTCATGTCAATCTCCGCCTCTAGCCGACTGTTATTCGAGCGATGAGCATTGGCTCATCCGATGGGTATATTGCCGGGATCTATGGCCATGGAGCAAAGCGAGCAGCGCAATATCCACCCTTTCTTTCGAAAAGGTCACATTTCCCTCACTTTTCAGTCTTATAATACTCATGTCTAGCAGATATACCAGTCAATATACCTCCACATAATGTCCCCCACGATGCCTCGATATATGAAAATGAACCGTCCCTAAAACCCCAATCCTCCGCCGGCAATCATGTCTCTCACTCGATGAATTCTCAATTAATCAACTCTCAAAACACATCACCCATGCTTGAACACGACCCCAACTCGGATAGGAGGAAGAGACGCAAGACGGACAAGTCGAACAATAAGGGCGGGCAAAATGGATCGATTGCGAGTTTTATGGGATGCAAACAAACGGATGGCGCTTTAGAGAGCCAAAAAAACCCGGTAGATGAGCTTCTCCCACAAGAGAAAAGTCATGCAACGCCAGCAGCCGAATCTCAGGCCGTTTCCGTCCACGACGGGTCTACTCTCAGCACCCAGAACGACTCCGACCAACACGGACAGCCAGAACAACACTCAAGTATATCTACTGCGCATGCCTCGGGCGTTTCTGCATCTACGAACGAACCGGCGGAACGAAGATCTACAAGACAAAAAACAGTTAAATTGTTTCCGAATGGAAAGCTGTTGAGCTCACCGGGGCCTGAATCCATTGACGAAATGCCCAAGAAAAGAATCAGCAAGCGGGGAAAGGCCAATAGCCAGAAAGACGGCGGGAAGAAAGCGTTGCTTGTCGTAAAGTATGGACGCGATGATGAAGCCAGGAAAGGCCTCGGAGTCTTGATCGACGATATCATCAGTGATCGAAGAAGACACGGCGCTCCAAGCGTAGCTCCTGTCCCAGCACCCGCGCCAAAGAGACAATCACCACCGAAGCCGACGCATCCGTTTTTTAGGAAAAAGCCTACTCAGGCAGATACATTACCCACTTCATCGCCTGGCCATGGCTCGGAACAGGGTGCCACAACACCAAGCGAACCCTTGGCTTCGACTAGCAATGGCTTGAACCCCGACAGAAAAAGGCCAGGCATCAACCCGACATCATTCGCCAGCTTCAAGCCCAAGCCTAAATTTCCCGACCTTCTTCAGCCAGTATGGCCTCCACGAGATTTCACGCACATTCGCGGGATCGATACGGAGGATGTACGGACCCCGAAGCCTCCCCTGAACATACACCTGAAGAAAGCGAAAATGGCAGCCATTTGTATCCATGACAAGGAAAACGTTCTTTCACCTGAGGTCCAGGGCTATCACCATGATACTGCACCAGTACTACGAACCCCAGGCAGAGCCGTGGCCAGTGGGGTTACTCTACAAAAGGCAGTTACCAGAGAGCTTTCTCCATCATGTCTGTCCACCCCGAATGAAGATTCTCTAAGCAGTACCTGCCATCCCGCCATCCGGAAATTGCATTCCTCCACTGGGTCCTCGATGACAGCCTTTGACCGTGGGCAATACGATACCCTTCTTTGGACACATAAATATGCCCCCAGCACCGCGGACGATGTTCTTCAGTCTGCTCGTGAAGCATCCATGCTCCGCGACTGGTTGAAGTACCTCATGGTTTCGGCTGTCGATACTGGTAAATCTTCTAAGGATACCGAAAAAGCCAAGCGAAAGTTGGACGAGAAAAAAAGGAAGAAGCGCAAGTCGGATAAGCTAGACGGGTTCATTGTCTCGAGCGAAGATGAGGCGTTTGAATTGGGTGAGATGAGTGGCTCTGACGATGAACTCGCTGGTGATGTAACTGTTACATCTAAAAAGTCTCTTGTAAGGTCGGCAGACTTGGCCGGTGGTTCTTCCAAATCCAAGACCGACAAGCCCCGTGTTTCGAATGCCATCTTGCTCAGCGGACCTTCCGGGTGTGGAAAGACTGCGTCCGTCTATGCGGTGGCCAAAGAGCTTGACTTCGAGGTCTTTGAGATAACGCCGGGCAACCGGCGCAGCGCTAAGGACATCCTGGACCGCGTTGGTGACATGACACGGAATCATCTTGTACAACACGCCAACTCTGGTGAACAGCACTCAAATAGTCAAACTCCTGACATTGAGTCTCCAGATCTAGGGTCGGAAGATACTAAGCAAAACAAGCTGGTAGGCTTCTTCAAGTCAATTCCAGCCAAAGCTCCGAAGAAAAAGGAAAAGTCTCCGGAGAAGGAGCCTGAAAAAGAATGTGACCAGAAAGCTCCTCGTCACCAGAAACAGTCTTTGATCCTTCTGGAGGAAGCAGACATCTTGTTTGACGAGGATAGGCAATTCTGGTCGGGTGTGCTCTCCCTCATTCAGCAATCAAGACGTCCAATAATCATTACCTGCAATGATGAAAAGCTCATTCCCCTCGACGACATCTCTTTTCACGCCATTCTTCGATACCGAGCTCCTCCCCAACACATCGTTGTGGACTATCTACTTCTAATGGCTGCCAACGAAGGCCACATGATACAGCGAGAAGCCATCGATCACCTCTACACTATTACAGGCAAAGATCTCCGTCGGTCGATCATGGAGCTAGATTTTTGGTGTCAAATGGCGGTGGGCAGCGAAAAGTCTGGCCTGGACTGGTTAGTCGACAGGTGGCCTCCAGGGGTGGACCTCGACGAAGATGGTGACCCAGTGAGGGCGCTCAGTTTAAACACATACGAACGATTCATGGGTTGGTTCAGTCGGGACATGTTGATGAGCACCAGCTTAGATCACATGGTCGAGCCTCAACAGGAGTCCCTGGATTGGTGGCAATTGAGCCTCCAGGATAGTGAATGGTTATCAGGCTTGGGCAGGCATTTGCCGCAGTCTACTCCGTCTCAGTCCAACCAGGAACGACTTGATCAACTGCGACATCAAGACGACCTTTTCGATAGGAGAAGTGACCTCGATATCCTAGGCTCTGGTTGCTCTCTTGATCACCGCCTGGTAAGTTAGGGCGGTCCCTTGTACGAAACAGTAGACAATGCTAAAAACTCTCAGGATCCTGTCGATACCTTTGTGCCTCAACTTTCTGAAAAACAGAGGACAAACTACATAGAAGGTCACCAACTGTTAGCCGCCGATCTTGCTCCTGATTACTCCTCGCTTTCAAAAGCCATTGGGAGCACCTTTGGAGTCCTTCTGGACAAGGTCTCCCGACCAGCCTATCAACCCGATGTCGAGGCTTCCCAGTCCACCAAGGTATTAGCACATATCACCAGACCTAAAACACCAGGCCCCACGCCCGCCGATTTTCTTAGGGCCTTCGAGCCCGTCATGCGAGCTGACTACGTATTCCCTATTCCAACGGGGCGATTATCCCCGTCATTCGAGAATGGAATCGGCCCAATCGCGGAGGATTTAGGGCCCTACATTCGAGCCATCATGGCGTTTGATCTCAGACTGGCCCAGCACCGATTGCAACTAAGCGGGCTACTCTCTCAACAAGGACAAGGGACGAAGAGAGTGCGACAGACGAGGGCGAGTCGGGCGGCCCTCGAAGGGGGCAGCAAGTCTGAAACTCGAAAAGAACGATGGTTTCCCATCGATACCAATCCCGCTCTTATCCTTGCCACCGGCAGTAAAGAATGGCAGGATCTTCTTGTCCAGAATGGATACTTCACCATGGCCTCCGTGGAGGATGCCCGTCGCGAGGCAAGCGAGCCCGCTGTCGACAGCTCCAGCGAAGGAGGCATATAATGAAAGTAGATGTATATATACCCCCGTTCGGGCTCGGTCTGGAGTTTTTTTACAGCATGAATGAAATGTAAACTATGCGATTTGCAAGAGACACCGGTGTTAATGAGAATGTATCTGTGGTATACTCCAGAACTCACATGGGCTGGTAAACACGATATCGTCATAGCTGTCCAATAGTAGCCTAGCGTGGTCCACCGCCCGCCTCCCCCAAGGAAGTCCGTCGGTTGCTCTCTCGTCCTTATCACTCCCTCCCACACCCATGTACTAGGAAAAGCCGGTCCTTTTCCCTCTTGTGCTCCATTCATCGGATCTACTCGAGTTGTCAATCGATATTCGGGCAACTGTGTTTTGTCTTCGTTTGGGTGCTGTTTGAATAGCTCCTCGTCCTTGGTGCTGCTCGCGTTGATCCGTCCCATCCCCCCATTATTGTCTCCGAACTCCGCTCATCGAGTAACAGGAGACCCGTTGGACCCGGTTCTTTGCTGCGTCGCTTTTCTAGACATAATTACCACTCCTCATGTCATTATTCGGCACATCTCCGGAGGACTCTCCTTCTCCGGGGGTTCAATCCGCTCAGAAATCCAAGTCCTCCCTCTTCGCCGACGAACCCTTCGGTGGTGGTAATTCCGCCCTGGGCTCATCCTCCCTCTTCGCTGACGACGACAGTTCGAGCTCCCTCTGGAATAACAATACAAGCAAGCGAACCGCCCGGCATGAGATCGTGAAAACACTACTGCCAGAGTCTGATGTTCCCGACAGCTATATTGACGCCTACGACCTGGTGCTGTCGGGTGGAGATCGCGTCGGCGCCCGGGTGGGCTTGACCTCCGTTCGGGAGATCCTGTCCGGCAGCGGACTAAGCGCCACCGACCAGGCGAAGATTCTCAATCTCGTTGTTTCGGGCGACGGCGACGACGCGAATGGCCTCGGTCGTAGCGAGTTCAATGTGCTGTTAGCGCTTGTAGGTCTTGCGCAGGAGGGCGAGGATTTGACATTTGACGCGGTCGATGATCGACGCAAGAGTAAGAGCTTTTCCGCTTTATCGATTGTATGACTGTCCTATTAACTTCCTTCAAGAGCTCCCGACTCCTCAGAGCTCATATTTGGACACGCTGCAGGCGAGACAGGAATCTGCCACCTCCGACCAGCCCGCCGAACGACCAGCCACACCCCCTTCCCGCTCAACGCAAGCCCAAGAACCGAACTCCGCACATTCCCGCAGGTCCGGTCGCGACACATTGGGCGGCCTAGAATCAGACCCTTGGGGTAGTCCTCAGTTACACCGCGATCATGCACATGCGCAAACCGACTCTAACAACCCCGTGTTGAATGGCTACGGGAGTGTGCGATCGACGACGAACGCTTGGGCCAATCGCCCTGGTGAGGAAAGCGGTCGCAGTGATGTTACCTCGAGCCATCGCGCAAATGGACAAATGGATGCGGGATCTGCTGCTAGCAGCGCAGGGCTTGGCTGGGGCGAAAGCTTCGGCAATTCGCCCGTTGCGGGTGGACTTGGAGGCGGGCCTGTCCAAGCTGGACTTGGTAGCTTCGGCCCTTCAAGCAATGTGCAGGGCGAGTCGAATTCTCGCCGCCGGTCCCTTGGCATTGGCCGTGTGTCCAGTCCGCATCTGGAGGAGTTAATCACCGTCACCCTGCTACCGGAAAAGGAGGGCATGTTTATGTTCCAGCATCGCAACTACGAGGTGAAGTCCGCCCGGAGAGGAAGCACCGTCATCCGTCGATACAGCGATTTTGTCTGGTTACTGGACTGTCTCCACAAACGGTACCCCTTCCGACAGTTACCCCTTCTTCCCCCGAAGAGACTTTCAGGTACGTAAATGGCAAGGCTTGCTTAAAAAAGCTTACTCACCTCTTTTCGACTGAAGTCAATGGCACTCACTTTACAGCGGACTCTACATCATTCCTCGAAAAGCGTCGTCGCGGACTCGTTCGGTTCACCAATGCCCTCGTTCGTCATCCGGTTCTTAGCCAGGAACAGTTGGTCATTATGTTTTTGACCGTACCTACGGTACGTATCGTTGAGGATTTGACGGCGTTTGGCTAACATGATGTCAGGAGCTTTCTGTCTGGCGAAAGCAAGCTACGATCTCGGTTCAGGATGAGTTCACCGGCAAGGATCTTCCTCCGGACCTGGAGGACTCGCTGCCGGCCAGTCTGACGGATACGTTTGAAACGGTCCGAGGCGGGGTCAAACGGTCGGCAGAGGTCTATATTAATCTCTGCACACTGCTTGACCGCCTGGCCAAGCGCAACGAAGGGCTTGCCGCGGACCATCTGCGGTTTTCTCTCGGACTACAATCACTAACGGAAGTGACTCGAGACACCTATGCCATCGACACCAACGACGTCCCTCTACTTAACGAGGGCATCAAGGCGACTGCCAGCCATCTGTCCGCGAGCCAGAGCTTGCTCGAGGACGAGGCACGGGCCTGGGAGGCGGGAATTCTAGAGGACCTCAAGCGCCAGCGGGACTGCCTGGTTAGCGTGCGAGAGATGTTCGACCGACGTGACCGGTACGCGCGCAGTAATATTCCGCAGTTGGAGCGACGCATCGAGACCAACGAGCGCAAGCTGCAAGACCTGCGTACTCGGCCTCAGGGCACCGTCAAGCCGGGCGAGATTGAGAAGATGGAGGAGTCGATTTTCAAGGTAAGGCGCCGTAACCCTCGAGAAAATGCGAAACTTTCCAAAGTGGATCCCAATGCTGACGGGGGGCACGTGGGTGGCAGGACAAGGAATCGATTGTACAGCAACACGCACGCGGGGTGTTCATCACGGAATGCATCCGCGACGAGCTGTTGTATTTCCAACAGAGCCAGTATCACATCAGCCGCCTGCACCAGGACTGGAGCCAGGAGCGGGTCAAGTACGCGGAACTGCAGGCTGACAACTGGCGGTCATTGAGTGATCAAGTGGAAGGGATGCCGTTAGGGGACTGATTGAATGATTGATCACCTCATGGCTCGAGAATTCTGTTTTGTCATCTGATGGGTCATATCTTTCTTTCCTTTTTTACTTTCTTGCTTTCCGTGTTTAGGTGTTTTTTTTTTTTTTTTTTTTTTTTTTTTTCCTGCGTTTGACGAAGCCCGTCGTTGCTTTTCTGTGTGACACCTTAGCCGGATATACTGTCGAGTGCGATATCTTTTTGGAGATTGTGATCTAAATGTGATTTTGAGTTTCTGGCCGCAACCAACCAGACCCCGTGGTTCTACTAGGCTGCTTCTTGCTGTGACCCATGTCTTCGTTGCCTTTTTTTAGATATCGTAGAATCGTAGAGGGAGGATCTGGTACTCCGTAGCCGGCCAAGTACCAGTGACATGGAGCGTCTCACGGCCGGGGCACCCAGCAGGTTTCGGTACCTGAGAGCATCGGCAAGTCCCATCCGACTGGCCGGTGGGGGCGGACGAGCTGGCGGCCAATGGGCAGGCGTCACGGGAGTCTTGGCCGCCCTGCAGGGCTGGGCGCGGATGCCGTACGCGGGTTGGCTGAGTCAGCGCCCACCCTTCTTCATTTTTGCTTTTCCTTATCTTTTCTTCCTCCCTCGCCCTCCTCCTTCCCCAACTCAATCCCAGGCGCCGAGTCGAAGCAGAAAGTCGTCCAGATCCTCCAGTAAGTGGTCGTCAAGTGCCACTGCCCCTGCAACTCACCAGTCTCATGCTCATCTCGTGTACTATCGTCATCCAGTGGCTCGAGCCCAACCACTAAGCAAACTAAGTTAACTAACGCCGACTAGACCAGAGGGTCCGCTCCGCCAAGCCGCGAGTGCGCAGCCTTCCGCGAGTGAAACTGACGCTCGCCTGGCAAATCCCCGCCGGGTCTCCTCCTGCCGCGTCTGGGCGTCGCATCTGATTCTGATTCCTTCCCCAGAACTTCCCTCCATCGTCATCAGACTCAGTATGTCGGTCTTGGCCCGACTCTTGGATTTCTTGGTCTTCGCTTCCTGATTTTTCGCGGCCTCTACCCTGGAGCCCTCTCTTCCTCTCTCTTCCCTTCTCCCTCTCTTCTCTGCTGCCCAGAGTCTTGTCCTGCTCTGGTCGCTTCTTGTTCTCTCTTGTCCTCTCTTGACTTTGTCTTGTCATTTCTTGTCATTTCTTGTCGGCCCTCTGGTGTTTGAGTTTTCGTCTCCCTCGGGGTCTCCCCGGCTTGCTTCTGTCCATTGCCCTCTCCGCCCGGCAAGGAAGGGCCGACGGATCGATCTATCTCCAGGTAAGTCCTCCGGGGTCTCCAATCGAATGATGGGTTTCTCGCTCTCTGCCCCCCCCCCCCCCCCGGGGAACCTGTCTTTCCTCGTGGTGGAGTGCCCCTTTCATATTTATACTTTATTATTTTCCGGTCCCCGTCCGTCGATTTTCCCCCACGAGTGCTGCCGCTAAGCAATCGTCGTCCCCCTTGCAGGCAGAGCGACAGGATCCCTCCTCCAGCCCCAGAACGAGCTCGCGGAAGCCTTCGACCCTTTCCCTCGCCCAGAACGCCTCGCGCGTCATCGCTCGGACTTATCTTGCCCTTCCTCCGAGGCATGCCGAGATCCACGTCGGACCTGATTCTTCCGTTCTCCGATCGACCGACTTATCTTTGGGGTGTGCAACCCCTCGCATAAGGCGATAAAAAGGACTGCTATCTCACGAGAAAAACCATAATTGTGCGATAAAGACAAGACGCGCGTAGGGACTTCGGCAAGCGCTGTTGTACGCGGAGGGACGCTCCGGGCTCTAGATAACAAGACTACCGACGAGGTCCACTTGGTCCCTCCAATCCAATCATGGCCTGGGACCATTTGGATATCGATAAGCCTCACCTGGCGTACATGATCCTTGGCGGGTTCACCGGCTTGTTCATGCTGTGTTCCCTGTTCGTCAAGGAGAAGCTGTACATTGGTGAGGCGACGGTCGCGACCCTGTGCGGGATCATCTTCGGACCCCATGCGGCGAACCTCTTCAATCCCATGGAATGGGGCAATGTCGACAAGATCACGCTGGAATGCTCTCGCATCGTCCTAGTGGTACAATGTTTTGCCGTCGGTGTCGAACTGCCCAAGGCCTACATGGAGCGTCACTGGAAGTCGGTCTTCCTGCTACTGGTGCCGGTCATGACCTGGGGTTGGCTGATTACGAGTCTGTTCATCTGGTGGATGGCGCCTCTTTCCTGGCTTGAATCTCTGGTGTGTGCTGCCTGTGTGACGGCCACCGATCCTGTCTTGGCCTCGTCTGTCGTAGGTAAGGGTAAATTCGCCAAGCGGGTGCCGAAGCATCTGCGAGATCTTCTATCCGCCGAGTCCGGCTGCAATGACGGCATGGCTTTTCCCTTCATCTACCTATCGTTTTACATTCTGGAATACCGTCCTGATGCCGGCAAGGTGTCCTTGAACTGGTTCTGTGTCACCATTCTTTACGAATGTATCGTCGGGGCCATCTTCGGCTTTCTAATTGGATACTTTGCGCGTCATGCCATCAAGTTGGCGGAACGCAAACAGCTGATCGATCGTGAAAGTTTCCTGGTTTTCTACTTCGTACTTGCGGTCTTCTGTGCGGGTTCCGGCAGTTTGCTGGGCATGGATGATCTCTTAATTGGATTCGCCTGCGGTGTCGGGTTCAGTAACGACGGTTGGTTTACGGAGAAGACGGAGGAGTCGCACGTGTCCAACGTCATCGATCTACTGTTGAACTTGGCCTACTTCGTCTATTTTGGATCTATCATTCCCTGGGAGGATTACAACAACCCCGACCTCGGCCTGACTCCCTGGCGACTAGTTGTGATTGCCCTCCTCGTTATCTTCTTCCGCCGCATTCCCATCATGATGATTTTGAAGCCTATTATACCGGACGTGAAAACCTGGCGAGAGGCCCTGTTCGCCGGTCATTTTGGACCCATCGGAGTCGGTGCCATTTTTGCGGCCATTCTGGCTAGAGCCGAGCTGGAGAATGGCAACACTCAACCGGACCCGACTAGTGAACTACCACAGGCTGGGTCGTCGAACTACTACGTCGTTCGACTGATATGGCCGATCACAACGTTCATGGTCATCTCGTCGATTTTAGTGCATGGCTCGTCGATTGCCGTCTTTACGCTCGGAAAGCGCATCAATACCTTGACCATCACTCTGTCTTACACGCAGGCCAACGAGGAGGGTCCATCTTGGATGAACCGTCTGCCTCGTGTACAGTCCATTGCCAAGGGCTCCATGTCTTTCCGGAAAGCAGATGAGCTGGAAGAATCCTCCAACGAGCCGGAATACCCCCCGGGTACCCTCCCTCCCATCGGCGTTCCTGGTAACTTCCTGCGCCGACAGCGGGATGAAGATGCCGATGCACCTCCCGGGAGGCCGCGTAGCCAACGACCTCGTCGCCGTCGCCGTCGTGGTGATGCGGGAGCGGGCGGCCCTATCAGTCAGTCTGCGATCGCACCTCAGCGCCAGCCGGGAACGGAGGACGAGAAGCTCGAAGATGAGGAACAGGCTGAACGTGAAAAGATTGAGCGCGGTGGTTCCCCACCGTCGAAGGAACGCGAGCGCTTCGGACGCGAGGCGGGCATTGAAGTGTACTTGGAAGGACATAACCTTATCATTGAAGATGAGGAAGGTAATGTTTTGAGAACGGAGAACATCAGTCACAAGTCTCCTAGTGAGCAGCAGCAGCACGTCGAAGAGGAGCGGCAGAAGGTAGAAAAGGCGAGGTCAGAACAGCTCGCCAAGTCCCAGAGTCAACCCAACGGCAAGCCCGATAGCGGTGATGGTGTGCAGCCGGCGCCAGAAGACAAGACCGCTTTCGAAAAGGCCCGGAAACGATTCGGCGACTGGATGGGTTTCGGCAAGGGCCGCGCTACCGAGGACGACTCCCAGCCCGCGCAGGCTTCCGAGAAGACCGATGCTGCTGCCGGATCTGGCAAGGCCTCCAAGTCAAAGGCTCGCTCAGCGCACGCTTACCAGTTTGGAAATACCATCATTGTCGAGGACGAAGACGGAGAGGTTATCAAGAAATATTCTATTCCCTCGGCCGGCTCCTCGTCTGGCGCCGCCGCCGCCGCCTCCTCCACGCCCGACAAGAAGGCCGACACCGGTGCCGCTGCACCCGTGCGCCGCGGCATTACGCGCATGGGGACCTGGTTCGGCCAGGGTGAACCCGAGTCATCTCAAGCCGCCAAGAACAAGCACGTTGCCGACGATTGGCTGGCTGATGACGGACTTCGTTTCACGGTGGCAGAAGACGACAGCATTGGAAAGAGAGGGGTTGGCCATAAGGGACAGCGGATGAACAAGCACGAATTTGTCAACCAGCTTCGCGGTCTCGGGCCCAAAGCCCGTCGTGAGCTGGTCGAAGAAACCGACGCTCCGGAGCGAGTCAAGGACGTCGCCCGCGGCGAAGAGAAAGAAGCCGTCAAGGAGGAGCGCCGCCGTTCCTCTGCCGCCGGGGTCCCTGCTCAGACAACGGCTGGAGACACTGAACAGCAGCAAGCTGACCCAGCAGCTGACGATGACGACGATTTCACCACTGACAGTAGCGACTTGACCGATGAGGGATCTGACCGAGGGGCGCCGGGTGGTAATGTCGCTGCTTCCTTGGCTCGATTTACTCGCGGGACTGCCGCCGACGAGCGCCGCACCACCGCTCTGGACGCTCCAGCTGGTCCTCGGCCGCGCAGAGATTCTGAGGACGACGGCACGGCGCGTGTACCGCCCTCGAAACTGCGAGAGGCGGCCGGTCTCACACGCCCTCCGCCGCAAGCCGATCTGGACGATACTGGCGAGACTCCGGCTGAACGGCGCCGTCGTCTAGCCGCCCTCGGTGAAGATGACTCGGATGGGGCCGTGGAAGAGTCCGACAGCGAGGATGACGGCGAGTTCCGTCAGGTGCCCGGCAAGATATCATTTGCGGATGGCACAAAGCCTGCACGAACCCGAACCGATGAGGGAAGTTCAAGCGAGGGTAACGGATCCGGGTCGTCGAACCGAGGACATCAGCCTCGAATTTCCTGGGGCGGCGAGAAGGGTCGAGAGACTTAAAGATTTCAGCAGGAAATGATAAAAAAAGAAAGAAAACAGCACTATACAATGAATAATCGAACGGCCAGGAGAGGCGGTGAGCTTAGTTGGATCTTGCGGTGAGAAAAGAACCAAGAAAAACCAAGAAAAAACACCTCTGTGTCATAGGATGGGCACCGCATGGCAAATCTTGATCTAGATTTCGTTCAGCTACTACACCAAACTGCCCAATTTTGCTGGACTCGTGACCCTCTTGTGTTGCGTTGATTGAGCGGCTCTCATTGCATAAGTGTTTTTTTATGTATAGAATTAATTTTTTTTTTTTTTTTTTTTTTTTTTTTTTTTTTTTTTTTTTTTTTTTTTTTTTTTTTTTTTTTTTTGGCAAGCTTCTTTTCCCTTCTATCGGTTCTCGCCTTGGACATGTTTGGTTGCCTCGGACCGATCAGAATCATGCTGCCTGAACTCTGGAGCAAGATCGAACCGTTTCTTGTAATTAGATTTGGCTCCATCTCTTTTACCTTGTTCTTTTTCTTTTCCCCTGTTTCTGTGTTCTGTGTTGTATTTCAATATCCATTAATTTGTTAGGTCGAAACAGACGGTGGGTTCTGTTTAATATAGACTATTTTTTCTGTTTACTTCCATGGATATGGAGCTATGTATCGAGGAATGGTTGATCAATTGATCAATTGAATGTTCTTGTCTATATCACTACAGGTGCTACCCCGTATGCTAAGATGTTTTTGGCGCATTTGTTTATAAACTTGTGTAAACGATTCACGTGGTTCAGGGTTCAAGATGATCATGAGATTCGGTAAAATGACTGCCTAGGTAACTCGCTTAAATTTGAAGGGTTTTCTTTTAAGGCAGTTGAGGAATAAGCGAGGTACACGCTTGAATATTATGATTATCAGAGATCTTTACGCCACCTGCCTTAGGCAATCTGCCAAGAAACTAAGTGAATAATAAAACATCTGCTTTTTACAATGGCTAATATAGTCATAAAAAGTGAACTACCCCAATCATCCCAGCATGTTAGCTCAGGGGAAGAGCGCCGGGCTCATAACCCGGAGGACCCACGATCGAAACGTGGACATGCTATTTTTCTTTTTTAATTTTTTGTTAACGAGGTTAACCATCACTGAACCAATTTATGAATATTTTTATTCCTGCTCATTTCATTATTCAGAGAACACTGGCTAGTGTTTGCGCTATAATGCATTATAATATACCCAGTTTCTCTCTCTCGCTACTCTATCTCTCTGGATAGTAACTAGAGTCGATATTTCCACTTAACTATTAATTCACGGTTTTGTCATCATGTAAAGGCGTCCTCATTAATACATCATCCCCTTCTCTATGTATCCTCAAGCATCCTCATAATAGACTGGTTCTTATTGAACCAATCCCAAAGTTGAACCCCCGAGAGATCCATCTCCAGGTCCCCATCCCCACCTACCAGGTTCTGCAACGCCCAAGGCCCAACCAGCCCATCCACATCCCTATTCACCTCAACTTGCGACGGCGAATGACTTGGAGGAGCATCCGCGGTATTCGTCGTCCCCGAGTGTCCCACAATCCCCGCAGAGTCCATTTCCCCGAACCCGAGACTCTCCATCGACCACGACATTCCGGCTTGCGCACCGTGCGCGCACGATTTAACCTCGACGTACTTGGCCGCGACGTCGTATAACGCCCTAAAGAGATCCCGTTGCCTGCTACACGTGCGATATGCGCTCGAGCTCGATGTCGACTCCAGCGTCTGCACGAGACCGATCATGTGTTCCAGATCCGAGGCCTCACAGGTCTCGATGATATGGCAGAAAAGAATGATAAAAGGGATGAAGGGGGACTGGATGATGGTCCTGTTATATCATGTCAGGTTAACCTGATCTAATTTGAGAAACGGAACTCAGGGAAGGGGAATGAATCAATCGATAACGAACCAGTTTATATATGCTTCCAGGAACACGGTATTCCCTTGCGCTTTGGTGATGACGGCAACGCATCGGTCATGTTCTCGGAGCGTTTCTCTAGCGGTGTCGATGCACTCGTGACAAAATCCCGATGTGGAGGGTTTCTCTGGCGCAATGCTCCGGTAGATGAGCGTCAGCATGGAAAGGCCGATGACTCGGTCAGACAATCTGGCTATTTCGTGGTAATCCAGCCCTAGTACTTGTCCTTTATTTACGGTATAATGGTCCTGTGTCCAGTCAGTCAGAGCCATCGGTATTGTCTCGGAGAGATAACTGGATGATACTATCTAGTTGGCCGAGGAAAGCTCACATGTATGTCTTGCGCATGCTGCATGACAGTTTTCAACTCTGCCGCAAGAGCCTGGGCACGGGATGTCCGGATGTACGGCTGCTGCATGAGGGCCCCTGGGCTATAGATCTCCTCATATATCCGGCCTTGGATACTCGCCATATTGATCCATCCAGGTGCCAACTCAGCCAAGAAGGTGCTGCCGGGACGCTGCATACCAGAACGGGTCAAGGTAATGTCCTGATCTCGAAAGGACGATGAACGACCTAGGCGGAGCGACAGCATTTTCTCGGTCATGTATATCGTCCAGAACAGGTTCTTCTTCTGGGCCTTTTCTTCCGCTCCTTCTATGCCTGCAGGCAGGTTGTGTTGCAATCCAAGAGCCTGTATTATATGTGAGGCTGAATTGATGAAATTCCACGCGGCAGATGGCTTGCTCTTCTGAAGGCAATATAACGCCTAGTGCGTAGTAAGTATACGTCAGTTGGAGTGTGACTTTTTTTCTGGGTTGATTCTCGCATGAAACTTACCGCCATGCCCATCGCATATGCAAAGTCCATATTTGTTGGCTGATGAAAGCGAAGGTTGGCAAGGACCGCCTGGAGGTTTGCCTCACAATGAAACGCCTGCGCGTTATAATCTTGCTTCGTTTCCTCGTCCAAGACGGCTTTAGAGCATTCGCAAAACAGCCAGAACAGACCGCAATGGACGATAATCAAGTCGGCTTCAATCGCCGGGCCCGGCGATGCGACTTTGATAAAGTAGTCGTTAAATTGGGCGGGCCTGATAAAATCGCCTAACCAGAGCGTAGCCACCTGCGGACATTCCTTGGCCATCCGCAAGCACATGAACACCTTGTCGGTGGGCGGCAAAGGGAGATTGCGCGTCGTCGAGCCCGGTGGCATCGCTGTAGCATGAGGATACAGGCTACCGAGCGTATCAGAATGTTGTTTCCCAGACTGAACGGCAGCCCGGAGGCTGTCCAGGATGTTTCCCATCTCGTGCGCGACCTCGGCGTTCGTCGCGTTGTCCACGGCATTCTGCAGAAACCGACTGGCGAAGACGGCGTGAGCGAACAGCGACGATTCTCCCTCGTACTCCGCTTTGGACGAGTTGCCGTGCACTTCACGCACACCATCGCCGACGGTGTTATAAGGCAGGGATCCTAGATTTGGCGTAGAGCCGAGCGAGGAAGCAGATGGTGTTGGTCCGAACGAAGACGAGTAACGGTCTTGCTGATTAGCGTCGATTTTCTTGGTCGACTCATAGCTCAACAGGCTCATCCTCCGACTGAGCTCGTCGATTTTCCTCGATATCACATCCAATTTAGAGTCGCTTGATCAACCTCAATATGGAATTTCATCTTCTTAGGGCTCGGCAGGAAGGACTGACTATGTGGTCGAGACCATCACCCTCTGACGCCTTTCTCTAGGCTTAGGGCCGGTTGCGTACGAGCATCGTGCCCCAGCTTTGGCGCAGTGAGAGCACAGACTCCTCCTGTCGCATTTTACCTTGCGTTGGCGACATCGATGACACTATTTTCGAAGCTGGTCAGCCATAAAATATGATGTCACATAGGTAGTAGAAACAATAAATCGGGATACCCACGGCCAGCTTCTCGGTCGCAGCAGCATTTCGTTCCTCATTTTCCTCTGCCTGCGAGAAAGAAACAACAGGGTCTTCTTCCATCTCACAAGCAAGCAAGGCGTGCAGAGTCAATAGACTACGTTGAAAGCATCGGAGGACGTTGGAATGCGAAGAGAAGGAGCCTCGGCGCACGCGACCTTCCGAGAGTCTCGGCCTCTCGGAGGCTCCGCTCTCCGCCCTGACGCCCTCTGCGATGTGTAATACGCTCTGTGCAGCGCCAACATCGTGAATGTCATGGTCCCCAGGGGTTGGGGACGGGGCGAGATAGCCTCCAAGCCCCCGGGGCATGAGAGAGTAGAGATGAAACGCGCGTTCTGTCATGATGGCAAAACTTGGGGATTGTCTGTCATTATAGAAGCCTAAATAACCAGTGAGTTGCTCTCGTTTCTCGTTCTCTATATATTTACTCCTTTCTGTTTGCTAATCACTATCTTTTATAAGATTGAGCAAGCTCGTCATCTTGTGTCAATTGTCCACTCATTTCCGTATTTCCCCTTAAATGGCTCCTCCTTTGGGTCCTCAACAGGCCGAGAAAACGGCCGGAGAAGTCAACAATGTTCACATCCCAATTGAAGCTGGGAAAAAAAATGACGGGTCCGTCGAGAAGAAAAGTCAGAATGGTTTACTGGTAAGTCTATCGAGAGAGCTGATGGCCGCATCCTGGCTAACGATCTGGAATGATCGAACTTGCAGAGAGTTTTCTCCTTCGGCAATACCAAGCTCCATATCCTCGAATGGATTGCTTTCGGCGCCGCGATAGTGTCTGGTGTTGCTCTCGCCCTGGTCAATTTGGTCATGGGAAACTTCTTGACGCTGCTTAGCGATTTCAGCTTCTCAAACGCGGACTCGATCCCCGACAATTTCATGTCCGCCGTGCAGAATTCTACGTAAGAGCATCTTAGTTGATGACAGGGTCCTATGCTAACGATACTAAAGGCTCCAGTTCGTTTACATAGGCGTCGCCCGTCTCGTAGCTACCTACATTTACGCCTCCCTTTTTACCTACGTGGCGTACCACTTGACCCGTAATGTCCGACACGGCTATCTACGGGCTGCCTTCAGCCAGGAGATCGCCTGCTATGACCAGGACGCCTCCGGCTCGATCTCGCAGCAAGCGACCACAAACGGCAAACTCATTCAATCCGGAATTGCAGAGAAGCTCGGCATCGTTATCCAAGCCATCTCCACCTTCGTGGCGGCCTTCGTGATCGCGTTCGTCTCGCAATGGAAGCTAACCCTAATCCTTATCTTTATGGTGCCACTTCTGCTCATTGTGCTTGGCACAGCTGGTGGTATCGATGCCAAGATCGAGACCAAGGTCTTGCAGGTCTACGCTCAAGCCAGTAGCTACGCCGAGCACGTCCTCGCAGGCGTTCGAACCCTTCAGGCCTTCAATCTTCGACCGAGAGTGATGGCCAAGTACGACATTTATTTGCAGGACGCGTACACTAAGGGTATGAAAAAGAACAAACTTTATGGGATCGTGTTCGGAGGACAGTATTTCGTCGTCTACGCGGGTATGGGCCTGGCCTTCTGGCAGGGCATTGCCATGCTCGACCGCGGCGAGATCTCTGACCTAGGAACCGTCTTTACGTGAGTGCCCAGGTTGTCATTTCATTTCAAGATCCCCGGACTTACCCGGACGCCAGTGTTCTCTTCTCTGTCATCATGGCTGCCAATACGGTCATGCAAGTCACACCGCACATGGCGACCTTCAGTCGCGCAGCCACTGCAGCGTCGGAGCTCTTCGCGCTCATCGATAGACAATCCGAGATCAACCCGTTCGACGAATCAGGAGACAAACCTGACAACATGACTGGCGTTTTCGATTTGCATGGGATCAACTTCAGCTATCCTACGCGCCCAGATGTCACTGTCTTGGAGGACTTTACACTCAATATCCCGGAAGGCATGGTCACAGCGTTGGTGGTGAGTAGTGCCCGATCGTATCTGTCTTGGGATTCCCTAATGAAAGAAAGGGTCAATCCGGTTCGGGGAAAAGTACCATCATCGGCCTGCTCGAACGTTGGTATAATCCTAACGAAGGCAGTATCTTCTTAGATGGCAAGGACATCAGCCAGATCAACCTCAAATGGCTACGGACGAATGTCCGTCTTGTTCAACAGGTAAGTGCGTGCCACAGACTTGCACGATACATCCCTAAAAATAACAGGAGCCGGTGCTTTTCAACGGCAGCGTATTCGAAAACATCGCCAACGGCCTCGTCGGTACCCAATGGGAGTCAGCATCGCAAGACGGCCAAATGCACCGCGTCCAAGAAGCCGCGAAGCTCGCCTTCGCGCACGACTTCATCCAGAATCTACCTCAAGGATATTACACACGTATCGGCGAGAGAGGTGGTTTGCTATCGGGCGGACAGAAGCAGCGAATCGCCATCGCTCGCAGCATCATCTCGGAGCCCAAGATCCTGCTCCTCGACGAAGCGACCAGCGCGCTTGATCCGCACGCCGAGGCCATTGTCCAGAAAGCCCTCAACAGCGCCTCCGCGAACCGTACGACTGTCGTCATTGCCCACAAGCTCGCGACTATTCGTAACGCGGATAACATCGTGGTCATGTCCAAGGGCAGGATTGTGGAGCGGGGACGTCACGAAGAGCTCATGTCTAGGAACGGGACATATGCCACTCTCGTCAAAGCTCAGGATCTTACCCCTACTAATGTCGAGAAGAGCTACGGCTCGCAGGACACAAGCATTTACGAAGAGGCTTCAGAAAAAGGAGACGACCTTCAGCCTCTTGTCAAGATCCGCACGGCCGAGGCGAAGCAACTGGCTGTACGAAAAGATCGCGAAGACCATGATTTGTACGAGAAGACGGGCATTAACCGTAACATTTGGAGGCTTTTGAGAGCGACGCCTGAGATATGGCTCTGGTTTGGAGTCACAGGAGCCACGTGCATCGGAGGAGGTGAGTGGTCATGAAAAGGCTCCCCAACTCTGGCCATGAAGACTGGCATTGTCGTTACGCTTGCTCATCACTTGTCACTTGCAGCTGCCGTTAACCCTGGACAAGCCCTCTTGCTGGGCAGTATCTTGAGCGTCTTTACTTCTCCTGACATGGTTGCTCGCGGCAACTTCATCTCACTGATCTTCTTCGCCATGTCACTCGGAATTCTGGTTATATACTTCATCATAGGCTGATCGACCAATACTATCGCACAGGTGAGCTTCCATAAAAGAAAAAAGAGTTCTGCTCCAAGTTCTATAATCACGAAACTGACACCAATGTACCTATAACCTAGACCCTCAGCCGAAAGATGCGACGAGAAATCCTAGACTCCTTCCTCCGACAGGACCTCCAGTTCTTCGACCGGCCTGAAAACACAGTAGGCGCGCTCATCAGCCGGCTGGATTTCTACCCACAGGCCACCCTAGAGTTAATGGGATTCACCGTCGCCATTATCCTCATGTCCGCCATCAACATCGTCGCATCGAGCATCGTCGCGATCGCCGTGTCCTGGAAACTCGGACTGGTGGGTATCTTCGCCGGTCTACCGCCTATGCTCCTAGGCGGTTACGCACGCGTCAAGCTCGAGACCAAGATGGACGACCAAATGGGTCAGAGGCTGTCAGCAAGCGCCTCGGTGGCATCGGAGTCTATTATGGCCATCCGGACTATCTCATCGCTCGCCATCGAGAACACCGTGCTGAGGAAATACGTCGACGAGCTCGACCTCGCAATCTCCCAGACCAGCGGGCCGATGTTTCACATGATGATCTGGTTCTCGCTCACCCAGTCCGTAGAGTACTTTGTCCTGGCCTTGGGGTTCTGGTGAGTCTTCTCTTGACTCCTGTTTTCTGCGAGACTGTCTATAAGCGATCAACTCGACTGACCTGACTCACAAAAACAGGTGGGGATCCAAGCTGATCAACGATGGAGAGATCAGCTTCTATCAATTCATCGTATCGTTCATGGGCATTTACTTCTCCGGCCAAGCCACCGCATTGGCTTTCAGCTTCGCTAGCAGTGAGTACAGTGACTCTGGAGGTCCAAGCACGTCTAGAAACCGAATTATACTGATAAATCATTCTTCCTTATCTTCCAGGCTTCACCAAGGCAAACCAATCCGCCAACTACTACTTCTGGCTCGACGGGTTAGGGGGCACAATCAGTGAGACAGACGAAAATCGCAAAGAAGCACCCGCCTATGGATGTCGCTCCTACGACTTCCAAGACGTGGATTTCTCGTACCCCCTGGCGCCAAACACACAGGTCCTCAAGAACGTGTCTCTATCAGTCAGTACCACATTCACTTTCTCTTGCCTCTACCCTCTACCCTCTACCCCCAGCTCTAGAGAGAAAAAAAACCAAATTCAAAACCAAACCCAACCTCCACACACACACACACTAACATCCCATCCAACAAAACCCACAGATCCACCACGGCGCCTCAGGATGCGGAAAAAGCAGCATGATCTCCCTCCTAGAGCGATTCTACGATCCGACAACCGGAACCATCACCATCGACTCCTCAGCCCCTTTATCATCACTAAACCCGCTCCTCTATCGCAGACAGGTATCCCTCGTGCAACAAGAACCGATGATCTTTCCTGGGACGATTCGTGAGAATATATTGCTGGGGGTTTCTGATCTCGGTCTCCATACCATGGGCAAAACGTCATCGTCGTCATCATCGCCGTCGAAAGAAGAAAGTGAAGGAGAGGAGGAAGAGAAACTGGAAGAAACCTGCATCTCTGCCAACCTATGGGACTTCATCTCCTCTCTCCCCGAAGGTCTAGACACACCATGCGGAGGCAATCATCTCCTCTCAGGAGGACAAAGACAGCGGATCGCGATCGCGCGGGCCCTGATCCGTCAACCTCGGGTCCTTCTACTCGACGAGGCGACGAGTGCGCTAGACACGGAGTCAGAGAAGCAGATACAAAAGGCGTTGATGGAGTCCGGGTCCTCAGAGGACAGGATCACGATCACGGTGGCACATCGGTTGTCGACGGTGCGAGACGCGGATTGTATTTTTGTGTTCTATGCCGGGGAGGTTGTCGAGGTTGGAAGGCATAATGAGTTGGTTGCCAGGGGCGGGATGTATGCGAAGATGTGCGAGGCTCAGAGGTTGGATGATGCCGGGGTGTGAGTTCGATCTTTTCTCCTCCTGGCAACGGAACCTGGGATGTATTGTGGGGTAGGGTTGTAAATTGTAATACTACGATGTGGGTTTCTTTTCTTTTATAGGCTTGCTTGATTTGATGGGCCTATATATCTGCCTGCTTTGGTTAGATGGGTTTCAAATCCTGCATAGATGGTTCATGTGTAGATGGATGTCTAGAAAAGACACATTGACTACGTAGAACTATGGTGCTAGGCGATTGATCAATGTCAGGTTGTTCATTTATTGAAAATCCCAGTGATTAAGATCCATTCAATCCATGCATGCAGTTCATATTCATTATGCTGATCCAGAGACGCTGAAAGAAGAAAGACAGAAAATAAACAAACCAAATAAAAAGGATAGATAGAATGGGAAGATAACCTGAGTAGAAGAGAAGAGAAAAGAAGAACAAAAGTGGTAGTAATATAAACAGGGTAGAAGATGGATTCAAAGAAGAAACAGAAAAGGTAGGAAGCGAAATGAAAAGAAACCAAAGAATCAGACGCTGAATTTTTGCTTTTCCAGTCCGTTATAATCCCCAACACCAAAACCAAACACCCACTTATATAATAATCAATGTAGTCAATAAAACCATGTAGGAAGCAAGGGCTTGCTTGAATGAGATGAATGCAAATAGAAAGAAAAGCATGGAGAAATAGGGTATCTTTTCTTTAAACAACAACAATCGCAAAGTCCAACGGCCTTCAGAGAACTCCGCCAGGTAGATTGATCTGGGCCTGTCGTCCTTCAAAGCCCGCGCTGTTGGGCGCCGAGCCTGCTGTGGCTCCTCCGGTCGCGGCGTACATGGTGTTCTCAAAAGATTGTAGGTGCTTGCGTAACATAAACATCGGCTTGCGCCCTTCCCTTTCTAGTTGCTTGAAGAGAATCAGAGGTCGTTCGTCTAGCGCGAGACACCGTTCTTGGTCCCCATATACAATGTACAGCGCATACTGCTTCCAGTCCGCGTTGATGTTGTACTTCTTGAGGGCAGCCGGCAGAACTTTGTGGCAGGGATCATCCATGGAAACGCGGAACGACTTGAAGATCTCCACGCTAGGAGGGTCCCCGCCTCCGCCTGCTCGGGAGTCGGAGCGTGTCGGAATCTCCGGGCGCGTGGCTTGGGTCGGGGTCGGATTCAGGCGATCAGGTCGAGACTGCGTGGGCATACTGTCTTCGTGGTGATCGAAGTTACCGCGACTGGCCGTATTCGGCTGTGTATACGACCGAGAGGCCAGCGTTTGTGTATTGCCGTAATGACCACCCGGCGACGTGGGAGATGGGATGCCCGGGGAGAGCTGTGATTTGCCGTTCATCGTGCTGAGGTGCGACGAGGAAACGGCGGCCATCGAAGGGTCCAAAGCGCCGTGATCATTGTATGGCCGATTTTCGTGAATCGAGGGCGGAATGTGGGTGGGAGAGTTGTTTTTCGGCGTGGTACCGCCGTTGTGTAACCGCTTGGAGAAGGTGCGAGAAATGCCGGACACGGACCGTTCCAGCAGCGTGATGCCGGAGGGGGAGCTGATCGGTTGGTTATCATGATGCCCTTCGGGTCCGGAGCTGGGGATGGCGGATGGAGGGGGCAGGGGCTGCGACCGATCTTTCGCCATCTTAAACACAGGCAGAAGCTCCTCTCGTAGCCGTCGATATTCCTCCGCAATGCGTCGCATCTCGGATTCGACGGTCGTGATCCGCTCATCTCGTAGACGAATGGATTGAATGAGGCGAGCAACGTCGTCTTGGGACGCATTTTCGTTCATGCTTTGATCCGCCGCTGCCAGACGGGGTAAGTAGGAGAACGAAAGGGGGTGTTGTTCGAAATAACCTACAGAGTGGGATATAATGATCTGCGTCGAGCGGGATGTCTTGTTTGACTTTGGCCTCGTAAACACTCTTCAGGATGGTCAAGCGATGGCCCACGCTGATAATACCCATTTCCTTCAATTCATCATGTTTCAGCGCAATCAGCGCTTCTCCCACGATTTCATTTTCTACCAATCCAATGCAATTTATCAGCGACCGTCGACTCATTGAAACAGTTATTTCTGGTCACCAAGCCAACTCACCTAGAAATGCCGGGCAGTATTGACGAAGACCGAGAGCGACGAGGAAGCTGGCGCACTCTTCGGCCGTCCATTCGGTGATGATCGTCCGGGGGGATTGTGGGTTGTGTTCGACATTTGCGTAGGAAGTCGGCGTATGCTCCGCAGAGGGGAAGTCGGACTCCGACGGAGAGGCCTCCGAGTCCGTGACCAAATGGGGGGAGGTAATCACGCTGCGCTCGTACTCGTCGTCCGCGTCGGAATCGGCATGATAGGAGGTGTGAAGAGACATGGCGGGATGTGCGAAAGGGAGGAGAATTTACACGAAAACGAGGGAAATGAGAGGAGAGGAGAGGGAGATTGTTATGGAGTGGAGGCCCGGTCCGGTGGAGGTCAGTCGGCGCGGCTCGAGCGTTCAGGGTCCAGAGGACGGGGAGAGAAAGAGGCGAGATGTTAAGAAACGAGAGGAGAACGATCGGTTGTAAATTATCCCATCTATAACAGCGGACACCCGGTTGGATTTAGGCCGACGAAGTGATTCTCAGCCAGGCAATCGTGCCGCATGGGACAAGGCAAGACGGGCGGCTGGAGGAAGGACCGAGATCGCTAGGAATGCGGAGAAGGCACCGAATCGAAGGTTCAGATCGAGGGAGGTGTCGCAACTTTGCGAGACTCGATCGAACGAGGCGAGAGGATAAAAAAGAAGGTGACAATAAACAAGACCAGGCGCGGATCGTGAAAAAACAAGGCCGAGAGGAACGAATCGACCGGGCCGGAGAGCGGGGAAGCTGTTCTGGGCGATTCCAGGCAGACGTGGATTCTGGCCGGGCGAGATGGGAGGGCGGCCGATAGAGACGAGGCGAGCACAATCGACCGCGAAGAAGGGGATGTGAACGTTGCAGGCACGAGATCAGCCGAGATGGAGATGGAAATAGAGCGAGCGAGGCGAGGAGGAGAGGGGAGGAAGAGAGAAGAGGATGGAGACTGGAGATGGAGGCGCTTCGTTCGGATCGCCGCACGTGACGCCGGTCTGGACTCGATTGGCTTTTCTGGACTTATCAAGTATCAATCTTCTTCTGTTCTTCTTCTTCTTCTCCTTGTTGTTGTTGTCTTCTACTTCTCCTTCTTCCTCAACTCAAGAAGAGACCCTCCCGGGATTATGTATTCACGATCCACTCTCGAATATTGTCACCGGCCACCAATGCCTTGCATCTCCCCAGCCTGGCAGGATTCGTAAGGGACAGCAACTATAGAAACTACAGGTACGGAGTCGTTCACTGCTTCGTAAGGCCCTCCGACTAGAAGAATTCCTCAGAACTAATCCGTCCAATCGATCGGATTCTCCATGTCATGAATCAGCTCAGGGGGAAACTAGCCGCCAGATAGTCAACGGGACTATTGAACCGCTAGCCTCGATCATCTCCGCTGCAGAGCATTCTGAAAGACAACGCTGTCAGCTTTCCAATAGCGCCGGAGCCTTTAACTCTTTGGGCGGGGAGTGGAAATGCTCCGCCGTCATCGTGCCAATATTGCTTCTCTTCTTATACGACTCGCACACCTGTTTGTCTTGGCCCGGAGTCGTTGCCTTCTATCGGTCTTCCTTGGATCCTTTCCCCTTATTCCTCTTTTTCCGAATTTTTCTTTTCTCTCAGTTTCTTCCTCTCTCTTTTTATTTTTCTTTTCATTTTTTTCTTTCTTACTGAGTACTCCGTAGTTCCACTCCACCGACTATCCCTTACTCACTACCCCCACCATCAGACAATCCCCCTCCGGGCGATCTATTTTCGGCCGCATCCTGCCTCCGAAGCAAGTCCTTGCCTGTTCGTCACGACCGTTGCGCTAGCATGTGGCTGTCTGGTAGTCTGTGCCCCTCGTGCACGTTCGTCCCTTCGCTCGGAGTTGCCGCCTCAACGCCAACGGGCGCGTTGGCCATCTCGCACTGGCGTTGCTATTTTCATCCTGCCAACTCAGAATCCTGGTGATCAATATTGTCTCACTCCTCGTAGCTCTGACCCCTCGACGCATCCCGGCTGCAAGGTCGTCGCTCGTCAAGGTCGCCGGGTGACACAAGGCTATCCCCGGATTCCAGGGCTCTCGAGGGACCAGAAGAGGTTAGTCGGGAGAGGCTAATCTCTAGAACCTTCCAGGACTGTGGTCACTCTGCGAACTGCTCGGTTGACATTAATATCATTGACTCTCTGATTTGTGAACACGCTGGTGGTGTCTTGGAGTGTTGCTCTCCAGGATCGGCATCGAGTGAAAAGCTGTAGTCATAATTGAAGAACGTAGCTGACCTATCAGTAAAAGGGTGACTCGATTTCTGGCTGCATGTCACCCTTATTGTAGCTCGTTCATTGGTTTTGGCAAACGGTGGATTGTGACGGTACAACTACATCTACATCTATATAGTATTGACTCGGTATCTAGAGATCAGCACACTGCGACCTCGACTATCCAAATAGTTAACAATATCCCCTCATAGACTCATTGCACTGTACTATTTCAATATAGAGCCTACTAGTAGTTTAACAGAACAATTGCCTCAATAATTGCAGCCTCGAACCGAATCCATCAGGTCGTCCGTGCCCTCCGATGACGCCGCATCGGGAATTACTTCGGCAGAATCAATGATTGTCATTGACTTGCTCCATTTTCCCTTCACCACATCATATTCATTCCTGTGGTGAACAATCATCTATCGGAAATTCACAGTGACAGTAGTTCTATTGTGGTTCCCTCATCTCGATCTACGGTACCTCCAGCAACCAGTCGGGCCATTTCTGTTTCTCCGCGGTCCCTCTCTCTCCCTCTCTCTTGGCTCTCCTCCATCAACGCAACTCTTCCTCTCTCTTCCTCACATCTGACCTCCTGCGCAATTCGCACTCCAACTCCAACTCCTCCCTGGTAAGACCTCTACCCCGCTGTGAGCTCGCCTCGAACCTCCACACTTCATCGTGACCCCCTTCCGTGAACCAAGCTAACCGCTGTCGATCGCGACCAGATCGCAATTCTTACTACTATACCCATCCCAGTTGCGGTCCTCGACGACTCGACTCCACCTCTCCTTCCCTTCGGACTCGCCCATACCGCACACCCGAAGCGCGTCGCATACACTCATACCCAATCTCCTTCCTCCAGACCAATACAATCCCTTCCTCGAAACCCAGTCGATCGGAAAACCTCGGACGACGAAGAACAAAATCTAGATCTCCGGCCGCCGACGCGACCAACCCAACCCAACACCAGCACTCACCTCTCTCCTTCTCCTCCTCTCCTCTACGAAATCCAATCCAAAGAACCTCCCTCGATCGGCAATCGCCAAATAAACAAGAACCACAACTCTCGAAAACCAATCTATCCCGCCCCAAAAAAAAAACGACCCCTCAAAAAAAAAAAATGCCCTCATCATCAGCCACACCCTCCTCACCCTCCGTCTCGACCATCACCCCAGAAACCCTCGAATCGGACCTCCTCGCACATCTTGCATCCAGCACGGCACTCGAAGACCTCCACTCGACACTCCTCTGCTCCCTCCAACGAATGGGCTGGACCGAAAAGATCCGAAAATTGTCACTCGAGCTACTGCGCGCCGGACGCTGCGATCGATTCGACGAAGTCGTGGAAGCGGTAGTCGCGTCCGCTGAAGGACGAGGTCATGCGCTATGGGGGGAGGGCTCAGAGGCGAACTCGAATCTAGAGGGCGAGGAGGGGATCGATGGCGGAGAGGCAGCGGCGCTTCGGAATATGGATGTGCGCATTCCGTCGGAGGTGGTAGAGCAGGGGGTTCGAGCGATCAAGGAGGTTCTTCGAGAGGTGGTGGTTTTGGAAGAGGAGAATGATTTCGGGGAGGGGAAGCAGAGCAGCAATGGCACCGAGAAGGACAAGGACAAGGACGGTCATAAGGACGGCAAGGAGAAGGAGAAAGGGAAACACGGCAGTGGTGCGACGGAGAAGTCGTCCAAAGGCTCGTCCAAGTCGGGACAGGATGGGCTTAAGAACGGTGATACAAGTCCCGTTAAGAAGACGGAGAAGAAGCCGAAACCTGGGAAGGGGAAGTAGGTCTCTTCTCTCTTCTTTCAGCTCTTCAATCATCTCTTTCCTTTCTGAGCATTCTCCTTGCTGTTGTTTTTCGTTCGATGCTCCCTATCATTTGTCCATGGATGTTTTCAGAGGCGTTCTCGGTTCTTCACTATTTCATGCATGGATGTTTGCTTACCAGTTCTTGATACCTTAAACCGTTGGTCACCTTGCTTTTGCTTCTTTGCTTCTTTCTTCATTTGTCCGCCATTTACTTTCCTCGTGTTATCTTGCTTGTGCTGTCATATCCTGTCAGTCCATCCTATCAACCATGTCCCTATGCCTTATTTCTTGCTGTACAACAGATCCCATCTACGTGGACGGACTGGACCAGAAGCTTCATAAATATTCTATCTATGTACCTATCTACCTTAAGACTTGACACAGGTAGAGAGTATTTTCTAATGATTTAGAAAGGAGCCCCATGAACCAGTCAGCATAGTGTCAACCGATATTTCACGCTGCTGCTTTGAGTTAAATATAATGCTGATGAGTAGCAGTCTCTATTAAGAAGTTACTGCATTAGGGCAACCAGTAAACACAATGATACCTACTACGTTCATGTGCATATACCTACGACTTTCGGATGTACGGTAGAAAGAACAAAGAATTAATTTAGGTGATGACACAAGTGTAGAGATAGTAAAGCATACGATGCAATGAAACCCATATAGAACGAAAGAGAATGGAGAGACCAGAACCAAGTAACATTCCCGTTGTCTTCATCAAACACCTGTCAGGCCATCTCGCTAGATCTAACTAGTGCCGGTAGATAGATAGGTAACAAACTTTGGAAACATTAAAAAGGACATGAAAAAGTGAAATGGATTCAGAAGCAAAAAGAGAAACTAAATTTAATCGTAGAGGCTGTCGTCATTTCCGGCTTCACCGAACGTGTTGTTGTCCTCAACTTCACCGGCGGAGGGGAAGCTGAAGAAGCTGCTGCTTCCCGAGTTCTTCATGCTCTGCGCGAAAGCCTCGTACCGGCGGATCTCCACGTCGCTGACGGACCGGCGAGCCGACTTCATGGCCTCCTCGAAGTGAGCCCGGGTCAGCTCAGGCACGGGGTCTTCCTCATCCAGATCCTCGTCCTCATCCATCTTAACATCCTCGCCGTTGGCCTCACGCTGCTTCTGGCGCTCGATATCAGCGGAGATCGACTGCTTAATGGCAAGCTTGACAGCCCGCTGGGTAACGAAACCGAGATCGGCACCGGAGAAGCCGTGCGTCTCGCTGGCGATGAAAGACAGATCGATGTCGCCGGCGACGGGGGTCTTGCGGAGCTGGGCCTTCAGGATACCCTCACGAGAAGCCTGGTCGGGCAGAGGAACGTAGACCAGGGTGTCAAGACGACCAGGACGAACCAGAGCGGCATCCAGCTGCTCGGGTCGATTCGTGGCACCAATGACGAAGACGTTCTTCTTCGAGGTCATACCATCCATTTCTAGAAGACAAAAAGCGTTAGTATGGTCGAAAATATACAAAGGGATAAGAAATCCAAAGACTTACCGGTCAGGAGCTGGTTGACAACACGGTCCGAAGCACCACCAGCATCGCCAACGGAACCACCACGGGACTTGGCAATAGAGTCCAACTCGTCAAGGAAAACGACGCAAGGAGCGGCGGCACGGGCCTTGTCGAAGATATCCCGAATGTTGCTCTCAGACTCACCGAACCACATACTGAGCAGCTCGGGACCCTTGACGGAGATGAAGTTGGCAGCGCACTCGTTGGCGACGGCCTTGGCAAGCATGGTCTTACCCGTACCGGGAGGACCATAGAACAGCACACCTCGGGAGGGCGAAAGACCGAACTTCTGGAACTTTTCGGGGTGGTCCACGGGGTACTGGACGCTCTCGATAAGCTCGCGCTTGACCTCCTCCAGACCACCAATGTCCTCCCAGCGAACGTTGGGGACCTCGACGACGGCAACCTCGCGCAGAGCGGAGGGGTTGGAGACACCAAGGGCGTAGCGGAAGTTCTCCATGGTAACACCCAGCGAGTCGAGCACCTCAGCCTCGATGGTGTCCTCGTCGAGATCGATCAGGTCCATCTTCTCACGGATCTGCTGCATGGCGGCTTCAGAGCAGAGAGAGGCAAGATCAGAACCGACGTAACCGTGGGTATCGGCGGCGATGGTCTCCAGGTCCACATCGTCTCCGAGCTTCATGTTCTTGGTGTGGATCGACATGATCTCGAGACGACCGGTGGGGTCAGGGATACCGATGTCAACCTCACGGTCGAAACGGCCGAAACGACGCAGGGCGGGGTCGATCGAGTTGGGGCGGTTGGTGGCAGCCATGACGACCACGTTGGAGCGGGCCTTCATGCCGTCCATCAGAGTCAGGAGCTGGGAGACGACACGGCGCTCGACCTCTCCGTTGGTCTTCTCACGCTTGGGGGCGATAGAATCGATTTCGTCAATGAAGATAATGGCGGGGGAGTTCTTCTCAGCCTCCTCGAAGGCCTTGCGCAGGTTGGACTCGGATTCACCGGCCATCTTGGACATGATCTCGGGACCGTTGATCAAGAAGAAGAAAGCACCGGTCTCGTTGGCCACGGCACGAGCCATCAGAGTCTTACCGGTACCAGGAGGGCCGTACATGAGGATACCACGAGGGGGCTTGATACCGATGGACTTGAAAAGCTGGGGATGACGCAGGGGCAGCTCGACCAACTCACGGATCTGGGCCATCTGCTTGCGGCAACCACCAATGTCATCGTAACCGACCTCGTTCAGGTTACCCTCCTCGTCCTCTCGCTGGATGGGCTCACCCTCGCAGTGGATGATGGTGTCCTGCGCAACGATACCGTACTCCGGGGGATCCACCTCGACGACCTTGAATTCCACCTGTCTCATACCACCTCTTACCGTGAACAGGTCTCCCTGTCTCACGGGTCGGTAGGCTTCGCGGAAGTAGGGGGCGAGGTAAACATCGAAGAGAGATCCGGTAAGACCCTCGACGGTGTCTGCGATGGGGAGAACGGCAATACGCTTGGCCTAGAACGCAGAGAACGAGAGTTAATCAGAAGATTGCTCGAGTGGCGACACAAACGGGTACCTTGGTAGGGGAGGGAATCTTACATATTTGATGTCGGGGCAAGGGTGAACAGTGATGATATCGCCATGCTTGACGCGGAGGTTGTGACGAACGACACGGTTGATACGAGCACTTCCGTCATCGAGATCATCATCCGCCAGCACGATCAGAACGGTGTCTTTCCGCTTCTTGCCCTTGACCAAGACTGTGTCACCTCGGAAGAGCTGGAGGGTATCCATGGTGTTGTTGGAGAGGGCAATGACGGAGTTGTCATCGTTGACGGCATCGGTCACACTAAACGGGTAGCCAGGTCAGTATGAGGAAATCGAACAAAAGGCCCACTTTCAACACGGTGGCCACCTACATCAACGAGTTGGGCTTCTTCTTCTTCTTGAGGATAGCTGTCGAGGTGTCGAGTTCCTGCGGCAAGAAGAGCTGATCAGTATATTTTGGCCACAGAGAGCTGCATATATCCCGATGAGATATTTACCTCTTTCTTCTCGGCGCCAGAGGCGTCGCTGGGTGAACGGTCAGCTTGTCTTCCTCGCTGCCCAAAACAGGATAATTCAAACATACTTGAGGTTGACCCTCTTCTTGTCATGGGTGTGATCCGGCTCCGCGCTCATTTTGAAGTCTGGAAGAGATGGAAGACGAATCGAGTAAGCTCTTGAAGCAACGTTGGCTTAACGGACGTCACTGGGATGGAGTGCGAACCCGGCGACAGGGATGTGGGAGAATCAAAGGAGATGGATTAAAGTTGAATGGAAAAAGCGGGATCCAACAGACGTGATAGAGGGTCTGGTGGACAGAAAAAATTGGGTAAGGTGAGGAGAGGGGAGGTGGGAGGTGAAATAGAGAGAGGGAGGTGGAAGTGAGACCGGAGGGTGACGAGAAACAGCTTCCGTTAAGAGGTGACGATAGAGCCAGTGCCTGCCGGGGCTGATGACTTAAGCTGCCCTGCCTGAGGATCCTCCGTCACACTGGATTTGTCCGGTTGCCGCCACCGCTTGGGCGGAGAGAAGCGCATGGAAGCCGGTCGTATCCACCAGATCATCGCGTCAAGTCGCTTTTTCAACGCAATGCCTTCCACGAGGCATACTGCATCTTCCCTTATCTCCCTGTCTTCCGATTTTGACCCCTTGCTGGCCTCACTACGCACTATGCCTGTTGCCTGCGTGCATTCAGGCACCGCGACCTCGGTAAATATACTGGTGCCTCAGGCATCAACATTCCACCGGATGGTCCTGGAACCCAGGACCAGCTCATCCTGCTCGATGCTTTCCAGAGTGGAGACTTGAAACTTAGCCTCTGACTCTGATTTAATCGGCTTCTCGAAAGAGTATCAGATTGCCCTTTCTAGGCCTCTGGATTACTCCACTCATCCACCCCATCCATTTATGCTGGTGCTACGAGATAAATTTCACTGGTATGGATGAGAGAGGGTCTGGTGTACACTAACCATTCAATTTTGAGATATTCGCCTTTCATTCTTCGATTCTGCAGTGTCCCATAATCGTCACCACCTTGACAAGCTAGGCACAAAGTGGACGCTCCCCAGCTAACATGCACATCGAAACCAATAAGGGAAAAGCACATGGTGAGAGCATGATAACAGCCAATCAATATTGCCATCCAGACCCAGATGAGCTCCTACGTATACTGCCTCTTGCAACGTGGAATCCGTAAATAATGCCACCGCGTTGGGGCTTCATTGTGCCTATCGTTTGGAAAGAAAACGGAAACGACCAGCTTCCAATATCAGACCGAGGCAGTGGTTCACAGAAAACAATTGTTCCTTTGTCATCTAGCAATAAAAGCAAACGAACGATAGATCCAATCATGTAAGCGCCCGGTCCAGACAGGGTGAATGACCCAGGCAGAGAAAGGCCCATTAGGCTACAGCCTCAAATCGCCCTCTCAACGATAATGTGAATGCGGATG